TTCCCGGGACAGAGAGGAGGTGGGGGTAGTGAGATCTCTGCTGTGGTGGGAAGCGTTTGTGCCTCTCCTGACAGTACCACATGTGAGCCTAGCCCTGCTGTGGACCGGCAGTCAGCCACAGGGGACCCTGTCCCGTCTCCCCCATACCAGCATACACACATCCAGTGGGGACTGGATTTTAGTTTGTGAATATCTAAGTTATTTTCCTGGGTCAGCTAATTTGGTCTAGGTCAGTGGGATTCTCTGTGTTTTATACAACTGCTTTCCTATTTTAGTCTGTCGTTGATAAATTGATCCCATGCTGTGGCTTATTTCCCCGACTAGAGATGATGTGGGAGTCGTTTGCACTTTGACCACCACCCCCCCTCAGCAACCCCCTCTGACTCCCATGATTCATGTGTGACGTGACCGGGTCTTCGGACATCACCCTTGGGACAGGGACTAGAGAGAACAGCACACAGTTGCTCTGGTGCAGCTGTCCTAAGATGCGGGTCTGCTCTTCATGTTTTCTGGGGAGCCCGTGTGGACTGAGGAAAGAGTTGGGCCTGGCCTGGCTCAGCAGCTTCCCTGACAGTCTGCTTAGTGCTTGGGGATCCCAGGCATATTGCATTCCCGCTCATGCATTCCCGCTCATGCAGCCTCGTCTGGAAAATGAAGAGGCTCCTGCTTCGTGGGGTGCAAGGATTAAACTGAAGGTGGCAGTGGCAGCCCCAAGAGTGGCCGGAGTACCAAGTATAGCTGGTCAGTACCCAGTAGCCCCCCTCAGCCTCTGCTCTCACTCTGCATGTGTGACAGCCATTTGGACCTGCTGCCCTCTCCTCCCCCCGCCCAAGCCTTGACACAGAGTGTTTATGTTTAATGGAGCTTTTATGGGAGACTGTACAGTGTTGCTTCTTTGGAAGTGAAAGGTCTATTTTGGGTAAGATAGTTCCTCCATTTGCTGCTGCCCCCTTTGCACTTGGGAATTCATCATAGCTGAGCGACGGGAGCCAGTGACCATGAGAAAGAAGGTGGGTGGAGCTGCCTCTCATGTGGGAGTGGCCTGCCTGCCTGATAGACCATTTTGCCTATATGTGTTTGTGACTTAAAATTTGAAGATGGCCAGGTGTATGGTACACGCCTTTAATCCTGATATCCAGGAGGCAGAGACAGGTAGAGCTCTGTGAGTTCAAGGTCAGCTTGGACTACATAGCCAGTTCCACACTAGTCTGGACTATACAGTGAGACATTGTCTCAAAAAAAATTAAATGTGAAGAATTGTGATTATCTGATAAAGCCAATGGCTTTATATTTACCTCCTTAATGTTCCCCTAAACTGCTCTAGATGGGAGATATGGTTGTCCTCAGTAGGGGTCACTTAATTGCTCGGTACTGATTGCATGTGAGCTCATGGGGATGGTGGTGGCTCTGGAGAATGAGGAGAGGAAAGACTTCCACAAGACGGACACGGCCTACCACGTCAGGCTCTGCAGGAATTACTGTTCTGTTGCTGTGATAAAGACACCGTGACCAAGGCCACCTTTAGAAGGAGAGTTTATCTGAGCTTATGGTTTCAAAGGGTTAGAGTCCATGATGCCAGAGCGGAGGCATGGTGGCTGGAGCAGAAGCTGAGGGCTCACATCTGGAACCACAGCAGGAAACAGAAATCAAATTTGAACCGGTGTGAGCCTTCAAACTCACTGCCTCCTCCAGTGACATCCCTCCCAAAGAGCTCCAACAGATGGGGACTGAGTATTCAAATGCCCAGCCTGTGGGGCACATTGTCATTCAGACCACCATCTGTGCTGCTAACTGGAGGTCCACTTGATGCTCAGTAGTTGGGGCTTTGCTGTCACCCCCACTTTCAGGAACTTTCGTGAACGTGAGCGTTTCTTGTTGCCTAGAATGGGATCTTGCAGTTTAACATAGTACTCCTGACTGTTTCTGTTTCAGAATGTAGGTAGAGTGAGAACCTCTGCATTCCAGTCTAAGATAAAGAGGAAAGGAAGTGGAGTGTATGCATAGGACATTGAAAAAATATTTTTATTATTATTATTATTATTATTATAACAAAAAGATTGATGCTATGCATTGGCTTTGGTGTAAAAGCTAACTACATGGAGTGAGGGGGGCTAGAGAGATGGCTCAGTGGCTAAGAGCACACATTTTTCTTGCAGAGATCTAGAGTATAATTCTCAGCACTCACATCAGGCAGCTCCCAACTGCCTGTAACTCCAGCTCCAGGGGATCTGATGCCCTCTGATCGCCTCATACATAGACATACACATGTCATATAAATAAGTAATCATAAATATTTTTTAAAAAGCTAATGACATGGAAATAAGGTTGGTTGTGACATTGTTCTCTCAAGGGCAGGTTAAACAGGCTGGGTACACAGCAGGCCAAGTCTTTTTTTTTTTTTTAATAATAATTTATTTATTTTTATGTGCACTGGTGTTTTGCCTGCATGTATGTCTGTGTGAGGGTGTCAGGTCCCCTGGAACTGGAGTTACAGACAGTTTTTACCTAAAACATTGTTTTTACCTGAAAGAAAGATGGACAAACTCCAGGCTTTTGAAAGCCCAGAGTCCAGCAGACATCTCAGGAGCAAGAGCAAGCAAGCTGCTTCAAGCAACTGAGTGTTTTGTTACCAGTGGTTCCATGTGTCCATTCCCAGGAACAGTCGTGTTTCTGAAAGGTACTTCCACTGGGTAGCCTCCCAGAACTTAACTTTTGATTAGACTAGGATTGGGGGCTGACGCAAGTTTGGGCCTCCTCATCTCTCATTTTCAGAAATGCCGCTGCGTGCTTGGAAGGATGTTCTCTACTGGCTGGGTGTGGGGCTCTCTGCCCTTCAGTTGGTTCATGGTAGTAATTGCTCTGTTCAAACCTCCTGAATTCCCGCTGGTTTTATGGTCTGATTTTTTTTCAGTGGCTCGTGTGTTTCCTAGTATAATGACAACAGACCAATTGTGTTTGCTATGGCCTGCTTTTGTTTATGTCCAGTTTCTAAATCTTTCAGGAGTTTGCATGAATTCACTAGGGTTTTTTTACCCCAATACTTTATACAACTCTTACTGTGACTCAAAAGGCATACTTAATCCCTTGGTAGGATCTGTGGAAGAGTTAATGGTTTACTTAAAAGGCTTTCAGCATCTGAAAAAGCACTTTGCATTCACAGCTCTGACCGACCTGGTGCAGGTGCTGGAGAAGGGCAAAGCTTTGCATACTCCAGGCCACTTCCTGCCAGGACCAAGCCCAGGACACATTTGTGCACCTTGGTGGATCCTGCACTTTCTGGCCTGGCTGAGGCAGGAGGCCTAAGCCACCAAGAGACAAGCATCTCTCCTTCAGTGCACGGGTGGCCGCTGGCTTGCTGTGGTGTCTGGGAGAATGCCTTCCATTTCTACACCAGCCGCCTGCGGCTGTCAGTGCTTCTGGGCCTGGTAGACTCAGGAGCCCCAGAGTCTTCAGACCTTAGTGCAGATTTGTTCTCAGGGTGGTGAGACCTGGACCTTCCTGCAGGCTACCCCAGAGGCAAATTGTCTCTGAAGCATTGGTATGCTCAAAGCAGCACTTCCTTTGTGGGCAGCCATGGACACTCAATTCCAAGAACTCATTTGTGTAAAGTGTGATGCTCTGGAAGCCTGGGAGGTCTTTGTGGAGGAGTTTAAAGTTCAGGCCTTTAGAAATGATGTGCTGACAGGTCACAAGTTCTCAGAGGAAACCCCAAAGCAAAAATCAGAACTTGTTTTGTTTGTTTTATGGTTTTTTGTTTGTTTGTTTTTTTGAGACAGGGTTTCTCTGTGTAGCCCTGGCTGTCCTGGAATTCATGCTGTAGACCAGGCTGGCTTCAAATTCACAGAGATCTACCTGACTTTGCCTCTTGAGTGCTGGGATTAAAGGTGTGTGCCACTACCGCCCAGCCAAAAACTGGAGCTTGAAAATGTCAACACAAGGGGAATTAAACAGAGAAGTAGACAGTTATGTCTACAAAGAATCATGGGAAATCCTCATTGGGTGGGTGTCTGCAATGTTACCGCCTAAGTGGGCCGAGAGTCAGGAATGGTCAGAACAAGGCAATTGCTGTTATGAAAGATGACTGACCCAGAGAGGCTGCAGACTGTGCCTGCCACTGCTGTCCCGCTAAAACTGCCCTCACCACAGTAGACCAGGACAAAGAATCCAGGTCCCAGGCTAGCCCTTGGGCTATCCCGGTCACAGCACTCAGCCAGCACATTTATGGAGCCCCAACTCTGCACCAGACCCCATGTTAGGTGATGGAGATGCAAGGTGTGTGTGTGTGTGTGTGTGTGTGTGTGTGTGTGTGTGTGTGTGTGTTGTTCATGGAAGTTAGCAATGCTTAAGTTTGAGCAGCAACTACTGATTTGGGCTAATCTTTAAGGAAGGGAATTTACCAGCAGGGCCCGAGTACCTATAGAATGAAAAACCCAAAATCAAGCGCTGGTCCCCAGGAATGTGAGAGGCAGCTCTGGGGTTCTGGGTTGCAGGAACAAATAATCCAGTTCCTCAGCATGGTTTTTCAGTAGCTTAAGGGAGAAGCAGAATCCAGCAAGTCTAACTCATCAGGCGCCTGCGCTGTGGGCACACATCCTGCTGATGATCCTGACACTTGCCTGAGGTAGGAGAGCAGCTCCCTGCAGGAAACCAAGAGGCCGGTTTCTAAAAGAGCGCAAGACCAGTGGATTTGCTCTAGAAGCCCCGAACAAAGGCAGTAAGGTCTGCGGTTGGTGGAGAGCACAGGCGAGTGGTACTTAGCATACAGTGAGAACAGAGAAGGCTGCACCCTCCCGGCATCCCCTTAACACATCGAGCCCAGCAGTATGTGTCTTAGTTTGCTTTCTAATGCCGCGGTGAAATACCAGGATGAGCAACTTGGGGAGGAGAGGGTTTATTTCAGCTTACAGCTTATAGTCCATCAGTGAATTCAGGGAAAGAACCCAGAGGCAGGAACTGAAGCAGAGGCTGTGGAGGAATGCTGTTTACTGGCTTGCTCAGCCACCTTTCCAGGGATGGCATAACTTCCGATAAGCAGGACCCTCCAACATCAACTATGAATCGAGACTGTGGCCCACAGACCTGCCTGCGGGCACTCCAGTAGATGCATTTTCTTAATTGAGTTTATGTCTTCAGACCCTATCTGTATCCAGTTGACAAAAACTAGCCTGCACAGTACAGTTGTGAGAAAACCCAGAGAAGCCTTCACAGTGCTTCACAATCTAGACTGCATAAGGAAAAAGTGAAGAAAAGAAAAATGACAGGGGAAAAAAAAACCCACAAAGTTTGTAGAAAAAGAATTTTTTTTTGCAGACCCTTGAAGCAAGGTGCTGGACTCGGGAAAGAAGGGAAACTAATGAGGTTAGACCTTTACTCACCCCAGCTACACCCCTGGACAGTCCCAGGCCATGGTGGAGGGAAGACAGGGCTCTTCCTAAGGTGAGGAAGCAGCTGAGAAGTGGAGGAAGCAGTGCAGATTGCCCAAGAGGAGGGGCCTGTGCACGCTGGAGGAGGGGCCTGTGCACGCTGGAGGAGGGGCCTGTGCACGCTGGAGGAGGGGCCTGTGCACGCTGGAGGTGGGCATCGAGTCCCCCTGGACTGCTCGGCTGCTGTGTGGATGCAGATATTACAGGGATTAGGAAGGAACCATGGAAAGAGGCATGCAGGATAACATCTAGAGGTTGCTTGGGGTTGGGATTAGTAAGGGAAGCTCACAAAACACAGAACATTCCATAATGTACTCTGAAGGATGATGCCAAATTAGCTCTAGACTACAGGCCACTCTTGCCTCCAACTCTGACCTACGGAACGTACGAGCAAGCCTTGTTGAAATGATTGAGCTGTTTCTAAGAATTTAATTCTACCTCAAAACAATTACAGACTCCCCATGTACCACGTTCTAACAAGGTGAAAAATCCGTATGGCTGGCTACGAACCAGATGCTGCTGGCTAATTCATAGAGGATGAAAAATGAAATCCCAGAGAAGGAGGGGGAAAAAAATCAGTAAAGGCAAGCCTAGAGATGATGTGAATGTTAGCGTTCGTAGTCGAGGACATTATAACATTTTCCATATGTTCAAGAATGCAGAGAAAGCTTGGGAACTTAGGGAAAGGCTTGGGAAATGTAGAAGGAACTAGATATAAAAAGAATTGTGTCTGAGATGAGAAAATATACTGGCTGGCTCATCGACCACTTAGATACAGTAGAAAAAGAGAGAAGTGAACCAGGAGATGTATCAATAGAGACTATTTAAAATGAAATGGAGTGAAAAATTACTAGGAAAACAGCAAGCAGGGCAGTATTGAAGCGTGGGACTTCTGGCAGCCTCATCTGTAGTTGAAAATGAGAGAAAGGAAGAAAAATATTTGAATAAGTTTACGTCCAGGTTTTTTCTTCTTCCAAATTTGATTAATACCCACAGATCCAAGACCCTCCACAAACCCCAAATCAAGAAAGGCTGTGAAACCAGTGTGGTGCATCCCTCCTCTTCCTCCAGGCAGGTGGCCTGCAGGGCCCCCAGAGAGCCTCAGGCAAAGCCAGCAGGCCTGGGCTCAGGCAGGAGGCGGTGGGGAAAGGCAGGTGGTGAGAGCCGCAGCTCAGGGAGCGCTGTGAGCATGATTCATGTAGGAGGCTGTCAGGGAAGATGAATGAGGAGAGAGAATGGGGCCTGTGGCCCGTGGTTCCTCAGAGAGTCGCTGCTGCGAACATTGCCAGAGGTTGTTCCTACTGTTCCAAGGGGCCTTTGCTCAGGCTGGCACATTCCTTCTGGTAAACCTCCGTCTCCGTGGGTGTCATGGAGACTCGTCACCTCCGCCAGCTCTTCCTCTGTGTCTGACAACAGGTGAAGAGCTGCTGCAGGCCTGGTCCACAGCCATCCCTCGCTAGGGGTTTCCAGATCAGGAGCGGAGGGGAAGAACTGCAGTCCCCTTTCCATGCTAATGCTAAAGAGAGCGCCTAGCGGTTGCTGACGGCCATGTGGAAACGTTGTGATGAAAGCTCCCGTGGGGAAGGTGAGGCCAGCCCAGGGGCAGTCAGTCCGCTGCTCTGCTGGGCTTCTGGCAGTCCCCGGAGCCCTCTACAGTCGGCCCTTCCCTCCATTTGAACCTAAAACCATCTGCTGGGTTGGGGGGGTGAGCCCAGCTTGCTTAGCATGGGGGAGGCTCTGGGTCCTCAGCACCACAGAAAACCGAAACAACAAATAACTAATCGTGTAAATTGCCCTTTGCCTGCCCCAGCGCAGCTGAAAATGCAGGGCACATCACGTTGTGACCACAGAAATACTCGTTATTTGGGCTCCCTCCGTTAGTTCCCGCTGCAGCAGCAGCCCGCCTCGGCTGCCAGAGCCGTGACGTCATTACCTGTGGCCAGGTGCCTTCCCGCTGTCAGCTGTGCGACAGGACACGTGCGCCCCTTAAACGTGTGCCCGCCAGGCACAGCTCGCTCTCTTGCCTCTCTTCTTCCTCTTGTTTCTTCCCTGTCTCTCTGTCTGTCCGTCTGCCTGCCTGTCTCATGTCCCCGCTCCCCCAAGAGACCGCTTGCAGCAACTCTGTCGCGCCTGGCGCCCCCCCCCACAAAAGGTACCCACTTCGCCTTTCTTATTTTAATCCTTTCACCTTCTGTCCCCTTCTTGTTCTCAGTGTCCAAGTCCAGTGAAGTTCTTGATATGTCTGTAGTAACAGAAACCCACCATCACTTTGACAGGCAAGTCCGGAATTAGAGCATCCAGCCTTACGTAATTTTCAATTCATTCAGAGCTGTAGTTCTGAAGCCAGGTGGGGTGGTGCACGCCTCTAATCCCAGCACTCTGGAGGTAGAAGCAGGCCTCTGAGTCTGAGGCCAGCCTGGTCTATAATAGCAAGCTCTAGGCCAGCCAAGGCTACATAGTGGGACCCTGTCTCAAAAAAAAAAAAACAAAAAAAAAAACCATAAAACAAAAAAACCCCACAAAGTTGTAGTTACTTCTCTAAGCTCATTAGGCCTTAGCCGGTTGGGGCCGGCTCAGGGAAGAGGAAGCCTGATTGTTATCTGTCTTCTTCCTGTGTTTTCCCAGCTGCTGGCTGCTCTTTCTGGCTTCTCTTGGATAGCTATATAGGAAGAAAAGGAAAATCCGGGGGAATGTTGTGCTCTCTAGATCCTGGGTGTGTTTAAAGTTGACTTTTGGGTGCTCCTATAGGCATTCGGCAGACTCCTGCTCATCGTGAGTACCTCACCTCAGTCTTAGTGTTCATCTCCACAGCTCCTGGGGATCTGGATGTCTGCTTTTGCTTTTAGCTGCTGAGAGCCTATCTGTGAACCCTTTGGCCAGTATTTTCAGGTTTTAGGTGGAAACTTAGGAGCTGTTGGGAGCCATTTGTAGTTGGAGTTTTCTCCAGTCCTGCTCAGACCTGCAGCCACTCAGAGCCAAATAAACACACAGACGCTTATATTACTTAAACTGTTTGGCCTAATGGCTCAGGCTTCTTGCTATCTAGTTCTTGTATCTTAAATTAACCCATTTCTATTAATCTGTAAGTTGCCACGTGGCTTGTGGCTTACTGGTACCTTACATCTTGCTTCTTGCTTCTCATGGTGTCGGCGGTGGCTGGCAGCATCTCCTGACTCAGCCTTCCACCTCCCAGAATTCTCCTCTCTCCTTATCCTGCCTACACTATACTTCCTGCCTGGCCACTGGCCAATCAGTGTTTTATTTATCAGTCAATCAGAGCAACGCATTCACAGCATCCCCAGCACTGACCCCTTTGAGGTTGCACATCAGATGTTTCCATTAAGGTTCATAACAGCAGCAAAATTACAGTTATGAAATAGCAACAGAATGATTTTATGGTTGGAGTCCCCACATTAAAGGCTCAAAGCATTAGGAAGGTTGAGAAACACTGATCTAGGCAGATGTTTGGGGGGAAGGAACTAAAAGAATATCCCCCTGGCTCATTGATGGGCACACAGGCCAGCCCCCATGCAGCTCTCCTTCTATGGCAGCTCATCTCACAGTGCTTCTGGGCTTGCCCGATGGGAAGCCCTTCTAGAGGCGGCCACTGTGTCTCCATGCTTTGAGGGGCATGTATTAAGTGTCCCTTGCCAACCTGGAGTGAGAGACAAGCCAACGCACCCGGCCTTCCAGAGATGCGGGATTCATAACAGTTTTCCTCAAAGGAGTTTTCAAACTGTCTTCTCATCTCTGACCACTGGTTTCCTGTATTTAATGTGAGGAGGGTCTTCAACACTCTGTTTATATGTGAGATTCATTACTTTAAGAACTAGAGATGGCCCAGTGGTTAAGAGTGTTTGCTGCTCTTAGAGAGGCTCTGAGTTTGGTTCTTGGCACCCACACTGGGTGGCTAACCGCCACCCGTAACTCCAGCTCCAGGGAACTTAATGCCCTCTTCTGGCCTCCACAGTACACCTGCACACAAGTGCTCTCTCTCTCTCTCTCTCTCTCTCACACACACACACACACACACACACACACACACACTCACACTCACACAGAGTTAAAAAAGAAATTGGTTTAAAACTTGACTGAAATTTTCTTTTCACATTAATTTATTTCTGCTTATGATTGTCATGACCAAATGATCTTCTTAAGAACAGCCAATGATCTCTAGGGAGCATCTGTCCACTCATCAGACACCAGTCTAAGCCAGTCTAAGACAGTTTGCTTAGTTACCCTGCTGGCCAAATCCTGCCATTGGCATGTTTTGGTTTCTGTACACCATCTATATAGATACTGTTTCTTCAGTCTACTGCCCATCTTTATAGAGTGATGAATTTTACCTTAAAAACAAAAACAAAATGATCAGAAGGTCGGTAATCCCCAGGGCTCAATTCCTAAGGACTGAAGAGAATGTTCTGAAACTTAAGTCTCTGAGGATAGACTAGGAAGACCTTGGAAGGGACATTCTTCGGAAATGCCATGCTGGCCGGGGATGTAGCTCAGTAGCAGGGTGCTTGCCAGGCACATGTAAACCTTGGGTTTCATTCCCATTACTAGGGTGGGCTGGAAATGCAGTATTCTTATTTGTTTATTATAGAATCCTCTCCTTCCTTCCATGTGTGTGCCGTGTGCTGTGTGCCGTGTGCCGTGTGCCGTGTGCCGTGTGCCGTGTGCCGTGTGTGTGTGTGTGTGTGTGTGTGTGTGTGTGGATATAGGACAGAGTTCAAAATGACATTGGAAAATAACCAATTATTGTAATTATGGTTACTGTTTACTAACTATGTGTGAGAAATGTGATAGTTAATTTTGACTGTCAACTTGATGGGACTTAGAATCACCATGGAAGTCAGCCTTTGGACATGTCTGGGAGGGAATTTTTAAACTAGATTAATTAAGGTAGGAAGACACACCTTGAGCTGGGTGGCACCATTCCATGGCCTGGAGTCCTGGACTGAATAAGGAGGGGGTGCCACCTGAGCAGGAACCTCTCTCTACCGCTCCCTGCCTCCTGACCATACCGTGCAGCCGCCTCAGGCCCTTCCCACCAGGCTTCCTCACCAGGATGGACTGTGCCCTGAACCGTAAACCAAAATAGACCCCCACCTCTTTAAGTTACTTAACAAGAAGACAAATACTAACACAGGGTGATAATGATTTTTTAAAAAGACAGCTCAATAGAATTCTGCCCCACTTCCGTCATTAAGAATTGAAATCAGGGCCGGGCGGTGGTGGCGCACGCCTTTAATCCCAGCACTTGGGAGGCAGAGCCTGACGAATCTTTGTGAGTTCGAGGCCAGCCTGATCTACAGAGCAAGATCCAGGAAAGACGCAAGGCTACACAGAGAAACCCTGTCTCGAAAAAAACCGAAAAAAAAAAAAAAAGAATTGAAATCAGCTGGGTGGTGGTGGTACATGCTTGTAATCCCAGCACTCAGGAAGCAGAGGCAGATGGATCTCTGAATTCGAGGCCAGCCTGGTCTACAGAGTGAGTTTCAGGACAGGCAGGACTACACAGAGAAACCCTGTCTCAAAAAGAAAAAAGGGAAAAAAATTAACACCAGAGCCTTGCATACTAGGCAGGCTCTCTACCACTGAGCTCCATCCCCAACCCCTTTAAAGTTTTATTTTGAGATTTTGTCTTGCCAAATTGTCCTGGCTGGCTTTGAACTTACAATAACAACCTTCTGACTCAGACTGCTGAGTACTCAGGATAATGGCGGTGTGCCACTGTGCCCAGCTTGGGTTTATTTTTGAGACACGTAGAGAAATTGGTGTGAAGTGTCCCTCCAAAGGGTGCTGCATGCTCTCCGCCCTCATCAGTGTTGTTCCTGACATCTGGGTTGACGGCCAGAGGAAGATCTTTTCCGACCTCTGGGAGGAGTCCACTGGAGTGTGGTACACTGTGTGTGCTTAGGTCTGAGGAACAGCCATGTATCACAGGGACAGACCACAAGTATTGGGCAAGCTGGTGATGTTTCTTCTTCCTAGAATGCCAGAATACCCGTGTTGAAAGGATATTCAACTTTGAAAGCAACTCTTTTCTGTTGTATTTTTAGTTTTTAGAGTTGAAGCCTTTTTGGTTTTCTTGCTGTTTTTTTTTTATTTATAAGTTCCTAATTATAAAGTAAAGCCCCATCTCTATCTGAATCAGAGAAAGGCTAGAATTATCTGAGGAAAGCTTCACTCCCTAAGGAAATTCTCTTGGGAGACAAGCCTTCTGTTTCTTTTTGTATCCTCGTTGAGATTTTCGGTGCTAAAAAGATGACTCCTCTCAGGTTGAAAATAAGTAAGCACACTTGCTGAGCAAGCGTGAGGAGCTGAGTTCAAATCCCGACTGCCCACCCATACCCATAACCCTAGCTCTGTGGGAGCAGAGACAGGAGGATTGCTGGCACTTGCTGGCCAGTAGCCTAGCTCCAGGTTCAGTCAGAGACCCTGTCTCAAGGGAATGAGGTGGGGAGTGACAGCAGGAGACTGGATGTCCTCCTCTGGCCCCCACAGCCTGCATGACACACACACACACACACACACACACACACACACACACACACACACACCCTCCTATCATAACCCTCTGACTGTAACATCCAGGTGCCTGTCTTAACCGCCTCACAGAATGACTCTGTGATACTTTTTTTTTTTTCAAGACAGGGTTTCTCTGTATAGCCCTGGCTGTCCTGGGACTCACTATGTAGACCAGGCTAGCCTCCAGCTCAGAGATCTGCCTGCCTTTGTCTCACGAGTGCTGGGACTAAAGGCATGTGCCATCACTGCCTGGTTCTCTGTGGTCCTTTTTGATGTGTATGAATTCTCCCTCTTGACTGTTCATTGCTCATTAAAATTTGAGTTCCTCGAAAACCTTGTTGCTCAGCCTTTTCTGTTCTGAGTTTAGGTTTTGGTATTCCTTTTTGGCCTCAGAGTGAGCCAGGCCAGCTGACAACCTCATTCATAAGACACCTTCCTTTGGCATCGGCGCACACTGCCATCACTGAGCGGTGGTGGTAGCAACAACTCCATCTCACTCACATCATTTTCCTTGTGCAAAAGTGTTTTGGAGGCCACAGACAATACCCTTGAAGGAAATGGCTAGGGTTCTCCCACGTTATGGAAGCTCTGAGCCGTGAAATCCATGCTGTGTATTTCATCTGAGCTGTGGAAAATCTTGGAGACAGATCTGAAATCCACAGGAGGCACACAGGACCCAAGGATAGTCACTTGTGGCATGCTCCCCTCAGCTGCACTTTATTACTTTTTATATGCTACCTGCCCCCCCCCCCAGTCCTTTCTGGAAGCCCATGGTCTACACAATGTTTAAAAACATGTATTAGTTAATTTTCAGTTGCTGTAATAAAACACCATGACCAAGGCCACTTACAGAGGGAAGACCAGAGCCTGGCATGCAGGGCAGGTTTGGCAGCAAACAAGCGTGACAGCTAGAGGTGGAAGCTGAGGGCTCACATACGCAACCTTAAGCAGGAAGCAGAGAGGGCAAACTAGGGAAGGGATGAGGCTTTGAACCCCCAAAGCTCACCTCCAGCACGGCCACACCTCCTAAGCCTTCCCAAACAGTGCCACCAACCAAAGACCCAGTATTCAAATGCTGGAGCCAATGGGGCACATTCTCATTTAAACCACTACAAACTGCTTTAATCTCACTTTAAAACAAGGCAAAATATTAAAAACGCTAGCGGCTTCATTGTATTATAAACATCTTGCCAGTTTTTGTTCTTCAGTCTCCTTTTTATGGTCTTGGATCCCACAGTTCTCCATGGTTCCATAGTTCCCACACTTGAGAGTTGCTGCTATAGATCTGAGGAGCTTGTGACTGACACATCTTCACTCCAGTTAGCCCGGCCGTTCTAGTTTGCTTTCTGTTGCTGTGATAAAACATTGACTAAAGCCAACTTGGGGGCCCACGGGTGGCGGTGTAGGCTTTTAATCTCAGCACTCTGGAGGCAGAAGCCGATGGATCTCTGTGGTTCAAGGCCAGCCTGGTCTATAGAGTGAGTTACAGGACAGGCGTCAAAACTACACAGAGAAAGCCTGTCTTGAAAAAGAACAAAACAAAACAAAAACAACAGTGGGTTTGGAGGGAGGATTTATTTCATCTTACAAGTTATAGTCCATCATCAAAGCGAAGGCAAGAGTTTAAAACAGAAACCATGGAGGGGTGGATGCTCTTACTGACTTGCTCCTCATAGCTTGTTCAGTTAGCTTTCTTTTAGACAGCTTAGGCACACCTGCCTAGGTATGGCAACACCCACAGTGGGCTGGACTGTCCTATATTAATTAATAATTAGGAAACAATTCTTCAGGAACCTGGCCACAGGCCATTTGATGGAGACAAATGAGATGCCCTGAGGTAACTGGGGGTTAAGTTGACAGCTGATGCTAACAAGAAACCGGCTCATTGAACAGGCTCTGTGCTCAGAGCTTTGAGGAACCTCTTTCTTCAGAGGCCAGTCTCAAATTTAACAAGTTTCAGTTTCAAGCACCATGCTTATTCCAGAAAGCAATTCTGAATTAACATAGGACTGGATGGTTGGGAAGACCTGAAAAATAGCTGCTTCCGAACCTGGCTCTTCAGACAAAATAAATGTTCGGTGGATGTTATGTGACTAAACTTGGTTGTGGCATATGTGTTTCTTTCTGTTCTTTGAAGCATTTGAATTACACGTTCCTTTCCACGCACTGTCTGTCCCCATGGTGAGATCTGGGAATGCAGCCCGCTGTGGCAGCATGGCTTGCCTTCAATTTCTGCTTTTCCTTTTCAGAGTATGATCGGCTGGGTTTCCTCCTGAAGCTGGACTCGAAACTGTAAGTAGACTGGGAAAATGCTTTGACTCTGGGCAGACATCTGGAAGAGTTGGGGTCTAGCTTGGAAGGGCCACCTGCTTACCCCTTTAGTTTTGGGGGGACTCCCTGGGGTTTCTGTCCTCAGGTTGCAAGCAGAATCTTCCAGCATGTTACTGTCTACAGGGGCCTGGGCGGGATGGGATGGTAGGTACAAACTAAGGCCTTGCATTAAGCTGGCACAGGTAGCTTGTTACAGAAGGGCCACTGCAGGAGCTTGAGGCGCTGTAGGGCACTGGAATAACTTTTCCAACAGAGTGGGAGTGATGGAGAAATCGTCAAAGATGCTCTCCCACCAGGCAATCCTGTGCTTGTTTCCCAGTTCTGCCCATTGAGTTTTCCTCTCACAGGCAGACCTTCCAGTCTGCTTCTCAGAGGTTTGGTGCCCGCACCCAACACTGCCTCTCCTTGCTAGGCCACTTGGAAAACCCCGAGGTCACTTACTCTCTACACCAAATTGTGTCTTCTGTGCTTCCTTTGAAATTCCTACCCCTGATGCCTGCCAACTGTCTGGCTTCCTATAATTAACTCTGTGGTGATTATTAATTTATTAAGGGCATGGGCTCAGAGCCAGGCAAAGCTTGGTTCAAATCCCAGATTGCCACTTACTGAACTTGTGCTCTCGGGCAAGCTCCTTAACTACTTTGAGACCATTTTGTCTATAAGATGGAGACAGTAGACATACTTTACAAGTTGTTATAAGGATTTAATTGAAGTGGTTCACTCAAGGACTTTTGAGTACTGGGTACCCTATTCCCTAGCATTCTTTCCTGGTCTCTCCGGTGCCTAAACAGCATAAGTATAATTGTGTTAGGCCTTCAACAAACCCTGAGTGCTTGGATAGATGGATGGGTGGTGGGTGGATAGATGGGTGGATGGATGGATGGATGGATGGATGGATGGATGGATGGATGGATGGAGTGGCTGGATAGACAGATGGGTGCATAGATGGGTGGGTGGGTGGATAGATGAGTAGATGGATGGATGGGTGGAGTGGCTGGATAGACGGATGGATGCAGAGATGGGTGGGTGGGTAGATGGGTAGATGGATGGATGGGTGGAGTGGCTGGAGAGACAGATGGATGCAGAGATGGGTGGGTGGATAGATGGGTAGATGGATGGATGAGTGGAGTGGCTGGAGAGACGGATGGATGCAGGGATGGGTGGGTGGATGGATGGGTAGATGGATGGATGGGTGGAGTGGCTGGAGAGACCGATGGATGCAGGGATGGGTGGGTGGATGGATGAACACAAACCCATTTGATCGTCGCACTATGAGTTGGCTCTCTCTGTTCTGTTTGTTCATGCCCTGTGCAGGACCACTCACATGGCTGATGCTCACTCTCGTCTGTTTCAGCCATCTTGGTGCTCCTGAGTCCCTAACTGAGATGGACATCATGGAAGATCAGAATTCCATCTCCTTTCTTGCTTTTTTGCATTAGGTCTTATACATGGCTCTTCAGATGGTGGTAGTCACACCTCCATAAATCATCCATGGGAGGCTTTCCTGTGGAACTGTCTGGCAGCCGGCCCCTTTTCCTGGAATCTAGAGTCTTGGCTATCGGTTCAGGCATTGTAGCTCCCCCAGCTTCATCACAGAGGCAGCTTCCAGGGAAGAATTGTCGGATCTCTTTTTACAAGGCAGGCAGAGAGATGTTAGGCCCATATTAACATCTAGGGTGTGGGCCTTGATTGTGCTAAAGAGTTGCAGACTTCCCTCTTGAAAATGTCTTCATTCAGTGCTCTGAACAGGAAAACAAAGGAAAACACACCAAGTATAAGCCATAAGCAAGTAAAATGCCACCAGACCAGGAAAGAGGCAGTAATTAGCCAGTCAGATCATGTGGATGAACAAAGGAGATGTTGCCCTGGACATACCAACCACAGTGTTTAAGCTGTCTTCGGCAGTGAAGGAGGAGGACACTCCTACCCTGCTGTCTTGACAGTTGAGCAGTGTGGGATAGCTCCATGTGTAGTTTGCTGTTGCGTGCCAGGCCAGCTCCATGAATTGACTGAGGGGACTTGGACTTTGGCCAAGAAATTGACTGGGCCCCATGTTTAACTCCCACTGTGAGGGGCAAGCTAGCACCTTCCTGCCTCGTGGTGCACAGGCTTTTCCATCCAGGGCTTGCTTCCGAGGGAAACGCAGCTGTATCCAGGGAGAGGTTTCTTAGGTAAGGAGTCTGCTGTGGGGGCAATCCCTCAGCCATATTTCCATCTCTCCTTCCAGAGCCTGTTCTGGTAATGTGGTGCCCCGTTCCTGATATATAGGAAGGGACACAGCATGCATCAGAGCTGGGCCTGAGTTCTGCCTCTGCTCCTTAGTGTTATGTGACCTTCAACAGCCCATTCAAGCTTTCTGAATCTCAGTTTTTTTCCTTATGAAAAATGTAGACTATTCACTTACATTCATTGTAGTCTATGGAGAATAAAAGAAAGCATTGTGTAATCTACTGTAAGCATACAAATGGAAGGATTTCTTTGTGTTTATCTTAATTCGGGTTAATTTGGCTTCTTGAGTATAAAAATGTGTGTGTTCTGAAAATGTCAGCTGTTTTCTCTTTAAACATTGCCTCCACACCACTCCACTTTTCCACACTCCCTACTCGTCAAAGTGAAATTTTAGGGCTTCCAGTCATAGCCTCTGGGTCTGTTAACTTCTCCATATTCGCTACTTTTTGACCCTTTCCATACTAAACTGTAACCCAGAGGACTCTGTGTAAGAATAAACAAGACTTGACTCTGAACCCCCAGGCCAGGATTAAAGGGAGCTTAGCCCAGCTCTGAGTGGATTAGGCTCAGAAGTCGGCAGACAAAAGCACTGGCTGTTCATTGCCAGAGTCGCATGCTGGGGAAGCCAGGAGCTCCCAAGCCCACCCTAAAACATCCCAGATTTGGCAAGGGCTGCCAAGCACCTGGCCGGAGCACACTCAGACCTTCTCTGGAAAAGGATGGGAACTCCTGGCAAGTAACCGTTCAAGGAAACGAGCAGTTCACAGAAAAAACGGGACAACTAACTGCCATTGGTGAGGACCGTGACAAACAGCAGGCCATGGGCGGGAGAGCGCGCAGAGACTTCTCAAGTTGGAATGACCGGTCATAAAACAGTTCTGTGTACCACACAAGACTGAACTGCCTAGGATTGAGAACTGTAAGATAGGAGCCTAGATTAAAAAAATAAAGAGGACCAGCAAAGTGGCTCAGCCAGTAAGGGTGCTCGAGGCTGAGCCTGCCCACCTGAGTTCATCCCTCGAGCCCACACGGTGGAAGGAGAGAGTTGATGTCTCAAGTTTGTCCTCTGACTTCCACATTCAGGCCACAGCACACACTCACCTACCATGACCACCCAATAAATAAACTAAAAAAATAAACAAATAAAAATGAATGAGCTTCTAGAATTCAAAGCTGCAGTAGCCAAACTTGAAATCTTAGTGGAGGGGGTTAGCTGTAGAGACACAAATGAAGACAGTCAGCTAGAGAATAA